CCCAGACCCATCTGAACCATTCCACTTTCCATTGCATTCATTAGTTTCAATCATCATACTTACATGACATATGATGCAGCAATGTTTCCCTTGCCCCAAAATGCTCTCTCTCAGAAGTTCCACAAAAGGTAGTGTGCTTTTCCTCCGCATGCACCTCATTTTAAGTTAGAATCCTGCATCACTGAGATGACAGCGTTTGTTTGGCTAGCAGCAACAGCATTGTGCAATCTGCTTTTGACAAACAGTTGATGTAGCTGGAGCTTGCAAATGCATACTTCATGTATTTGTCCCTTCAATGTCCTAATGTCTAGTTGATGTGGATCCCATGCGTTCACTCATCAAAGTGACATTTGATCGCCCACCATGGGAATTGTCCAGATATTTTTCAATGGCGTTGCACATCTAGAGAATGGCAAGTAATGGCTGGGATCACAAGTCATGGTGGGCACTGTCAGGAGCAGTCTCCACCTGGTTACCAGGTAACTCAACACCTGGCCACCAAATTACCATATCCCCTTTTACACCCTGCTAGCCCTTTTCTAGCCACCCTCAGTGCTACCTAAGGGACCCAGGAGTGCATCAGAGAAATGCCATGATAGTCATGGGGGTATTGGCATATGGTGGATGTCAATGTCTGTGGATAAGTGGTGTGTGAAACTGGTACCCATGGAGGTGAGATGCTGTTTGGTCCTTGTGCAGGCACTTCTGAGCAAATGGTGAGCTGAATTCACCTGTTACCCCACTCATATTTCCATGTTGAGTTTTCGCGATGTCTAGTTTGTTTGGGATATTTTATAACATAGAAGGCTGAATATTAATGAGGTGAGTTGGACTGTTAACAAGGCATTTAACAACTGATAATCTTTCTTAATGTACAACTCGTTGCTGCTTAATCTCATCATGCCGCTTAACAAAAGCATAAAAGATGGGGCAAGCTGCTCCCAATGTCAAGGTCGGCCTCACTGGACATCTCATCTGATTCTGCTGCACATCTCCTCATTGACCATGTTGCTCAGGCCCCTATAAGATTCCGCCCTCAGTATTACTTTCTGACATTAGGTACAGTACATACAAACTTAACTGGAGTTCATCATATAGCAAAATTGTAACTTATTAATTTTTATAAGTTGTCACCAAATTCATGCTTCTCTGTTCAAATGTTACTGATACTATTTTAAATTAATTTTGCCTTTTAATCACTGTTGTGATTTACATAAAGGTACTGCAGGTGACTGGTGTTCCATGAGTTGCCTTCATTAAATTGAATACCTTCTTTTATGGTTCAATTAAGATTAATTTTAGAATGTGGCATGTGTGACTCATAATGACTCATTTGGGTTCTGCCATTTTGGACTTGTTTGCATTTCAGATACTCTTCAGACTTTGAAATGTAGTGACTTTTTCAAAGTAAAATGATATTGTAGGTGAGTTTATTCCTTCTTTAATTTTGACGACTGAAAATTCTGATTGACATAAGCTCACAATCAGTCCAACACTTTTATTGAGAATTTTAAGCAGAACAACTGCAACAGAATCATCCAGTTACCTCTGAGGTGGTTAATCTGAGATGACATTTGGTCACACGGGAGTGATCTCAACAAAGATCTTCCTGTTTGGTTCACTAGGGCTCTTCCTGTCTGTATGTATCTTCTGTCTTCTTTCTTCAATGTTCCTGTGTGGGTCTTTAGGGTTTAGATGGAAACTACAGTTTTTATAAGTATTCATACATAATGCTTTTCTTGATGTGGTTTGACTGGCTGGTTGCATGATTAGTCATCGGTTGCTTAATGTGTTCTATTATCTTAGTCATATAAGGATATCTTTCTATTCCACCATAATTATGAGTCTGGTTTCAATGGCCCTCTGCTGATTTCAACAAATTTGCTATGATCAATAGTTCTATTCAATTCAAATTGATTTATTCAATTCAGTATCACTGCAATGAACAAGAATAGATATAGTTAGCAAGCTTCTCACTTGTCTGGTTTTCACATAACAAACACGACTCTAAACTCAAATAAAACAAAAAAATTATGGATGCTGGAGATCTGAAACAAAACAGAAATTGCTGGTGAAACTTAGCATATCTGGTAGCATGAGTGGGAAGAAAACAGAGTCAACATTATAGCTCCAGTAATCCTTCATTAGAACTGAAGAAATTTATGAAGAAGGGTCACTGGGCTCAAAATGTTAACTCTGTTTTCTGTCTTCATAGATGCTATTGCACCTGCTGAGTTTCTCCATCAATTTCTGTATTTGTTTATTGCAGTTCTTTGTTTTATTTCACTTACTTCTTTGGTGATGTTATTTGACAATCTGAAGACAATGACTATTTTTGTAATATGGCCTTTTCTCCAAATAAATCGATTTTCCTTAATAACGGATCACTCAATTTTTACATTACCAAGTTGTTTCTGTATTTCAGTCTAGCAATGCTGTTTTGGATTGGCTGAAATAAGATTACTTAAAGGAATTTGCAGATTCCCCAAAGAGAGCAATTAATCTTTATTTATTCTTTTTTATTGTTGGTAACTTTAAAGTATGAGCACATTCTTGGGTTAACAGTCAAGAAAGTGACCCATAAAACTGGATTTTAAAAAATGCATAGCATGATGTCAAATCTAAATGTTGTACCTCGTTGTCATTAAAGTTTGTGGCTGATGGTTTAGCTTCAGTTTTGCCATCTTCTCAGCACTGTAAAGAGTCATGTGGTGCATTGGCTTTCACACCTCATCTTGACTATTGTTTTGAAAGCAGCTGGAAAATGAATACAATAGCTCTTATGTGTATTGCCTTGCATTGTTGAACAAGATTGAGAGCACAGTGGGGAGTAAGATGCCACAGAGCAATAATTACTCAGCATACCAATCACCTTAGGGAGCATGTGTATCAGACCGTACAAGTTGTTTGAATTTCTGCCACCACTTTGCATTATTTCACACTGTACGAAATATAAAATTTTGGTCTTAGCAATCATGCACTTTAAATTCTAATTGCTGTATATTTAACCAAAAATGTATCTACATATAAGGTGTGAGGTGGGTGGTGGGAAATGACAAGACACCGTTCACCATAGACAGGAAGGAGGAAAGAGGGAAGGATGGAAGAAAGACGGATGAAAGAAGGACACCTAGAGATCAAAATGTAAGAAAATTGTTGGGGAGACAGATATTTCAGGGGACATGGGAAGTCTAACCAGGAATGGAATGGAGGAAGGAATTGATAGATAAATGAGAGGCCACTGGGTAAGTGGAGCAAAGGCACCAAATGCATGGAAACTCGCAATTGGTGGTGAAGTTTGGGGAGGGGCAGGTATGGTGCAGCCAAATTTTGAGAACAGAAATGAATGTCCTGTGAGTATGAAAGAATGGAGGACAATTATTTTCAATGGAGAGAAAGTCATGGATCTCAATGGGTATGTGGAAAGTGTTCTCAAGAACTCTCAGTAGTCCTGTTTTCTTCCTAATAGTAGTGAGAAAATAATTTTTGGAAAATTATGAAGTCCTGATCTCATACATGATCTGAAAAGATTTATAATAATTACAATCTAAACAAACTTACACATGTTTTCCCTCTGCAATCATGTTAATTGTTGTAGGCTTGGTGGTCATTATGTGGAGTACAATGAATGGCCAATTTATGATATATTGGTCTTAGGGTTTCGGACTTTGGTGCCAACTGTCAAAGTGCTGCCTAATGGTGTAAATGGCACTACATCCAAATGGTAAAAGATGGGGGAAGAATTTGTGTAAGTAGTATTGCTTCAGATAACATCATCCAAACCTATTGCTTTGACGGTGCCATAAGCTATTACTTGCATGGCTACACGACTTTCACCATTGATATCATTAAAGAGCCTTCAACGGTAGTGGATCAGCAGCACATTTGGCCTGACTGGTCTAAAAACCACTAAAAGCAGTACTACACAAACCAGTTTTCCCCAAATTGTTCTGTAGATGAATCTTGAAAAAATAATTTACAATATATTCTGAAATAGAATCTTGCAGCCCATTCATTATTTTTAAAATGCAATCGATATTGCAATTTTTTCAACGCCGCAGCTTACTATATGACTTCCTAATTCTATACTGTTATACGTGGTCTTGTGGTGCTCATATATCATCACTTTATATGATTAATTCATGTTATTATATCCTAAAATGTCCTTGTATTTGTTGTATTTGTTCAAATAGAATTGCTAAATAAGATCGCTTAAATACATTGCTTTATCTGGAATTACATTGATACTTAACTCTTAAAAAGTGGTCATAAATAACATGAGACAACAAGGTGCAGGGCTGGATGAACACAGCAGGCCAAGCAGCATCATAGGAGCAGAGAGGCTGACATTTCGGGCCTAGTTCCTACTATCTCTGATTCAGTCATAAATAACATATTTGGAAACCATTTAATCCATTTGATTATATCAAATGGTGTGCAATTAAATGGTTATCTAAAGCCATTAGGGAGGTTATAAACGTCACATGTTGCTAAACTGAAATAATCTAGGGTGAGTATTGACCAAGTTGAAACACATCTGAGGCCAAAAGCAAATTACAATTTAGTTATATTTTTTACTGAAGCATCTCCTCACAAAACATTTGCATATACTTTTGTTTTAGATGCTTACTGATTTTCCATGCATTTTTAACATTTTTAGTATCTAGTGTATAGGCTCCAACATTAACTCTGAAGCTTGTTTAGTGTTGGTGACAGAGTCAATTTTAAGTGGGAGCCCTCAAGGAACTTCCAGTGCTCTCTGGTATTTTAATACAGTCACATAGTAAGAATAGAGCCTGAGAATTTGGTGTTGAATGAGCTGTTGTGGTTGTAAGGCAAATCCACTCTGATGCAATGTCAGCTGGAATGTTTAAAGGGTCAAACCAACAACGGAACTTGGAGGATTTAAGATTTTGCACAAAGAGGGAAAACACATGGATTCAATGCTCTGACCTGATTTAATGATGTATTGTTTAATGTACTGCTGCCTGTGGATGAGGAGGCAGGGAGAGATACTGTTCCCCAGAAACAGACGAAAGAAGGCAAAGTACTGTGGATGCTGGAATCTGAAACAAACACAGAAAGCTGGAGAAGTCAAAAGGTCTGGCAGCATCTGTGGAGAGAGGAACTGAGTTAACATATCAGATCCAATATTGCTCTTCTTCACAACAGAAGGAAGAAGACAACTGTTGCCACAATGAAGGTCTGACTAGAGGTGAGCCAGAAAATCAATGATAACAGCACTGTGTTAACATCCTGAGTTCCCTGCAACTTGTGCTTTACCCTAAACAGGTCAGGGTAAGTTACTCTTCCTTTCCCCAAACTGACCCTACTTTGTCAAATATGCTCCATCATATCACGCCTCTCCTCATACCTATCTTTCAAGTGCACTTTTTCATCCTCCTTTCAGGGTATTTCCTCATCACCCTGATCTATCTGCACACCGCTCTCGCTCACTTGCATCCTTGTTTGATGTATCTTCCGTTGAATGAATGCACCAAATCCATCACGTGAACACAAAACACGGTGTAACCCGAAAAATAATGCTGCTCTTTCTCCTGCTGCAGGGTAAATGGAGACAAAACTCTAGGGAAATTGAGAGAACCAGGAACAATCCGCAACAGATTTCCCAATTCACAACTGCAATGAAGGTAATGCAGGTTAGTGGCTTATCAACTTCTCTGGCCTCTCAACTGGAGACAGAAGTGAACATCAGAGGCCCATGCACCCAGTCATGTGGATTTGATGTTAGCCATAAATGAAATACGATAATCTTCAAAATAATCAGTTTCAACATTCTTACGCTGCCAGTCTTAACTCATTTTTTTCCCTCTGCCAAGACCTGCACATGTACCAGGGAAAATGTCAGAGTTCACCCTATGTATGTCCAGAATGATATCTCAGAGCATTGCAGGAGATTTTCTTCCACTTAACCAACTTCATGGAACTTTGGTCATGGCAACAAAATGAGTCAATGAAGGTCTTGACCATAACTGGATGTCAACATGCTTAACACACTAAATACGATGCCAGACACCTTGATAGTGACCTTAAAAAGAAAGACTTGAATTTAAATAAGCACAGTCAGAACCTCATGACATCCTAAAGTGTTTTACAGTCCTGAAACTCTAGTGACTGTTGTAGTATAGCAAACATGGCAGCCAGTTTGTACACAGGAAGATCCAACACACAAAAGCATAATAATGACTAGGTAATCTATTTCATTGTGACATTATTGAGGGATATCTATTGACCAAGAAACTGTGGAATGTGCTGTTGTTCTTCCTTGAATTATGTTGTGGGATTTTTATATGCTCTTGAGACTGTAGACTGTGTTCAGTTTAATGGCTCATCTGAAAGATGGCAGTCAAACAGTGTGATATTCCTTATGTTCTGTAATGTATACTTCCAATATACCCCTAATTTGTGCAAATTGCTACTCTCTAGCTGAGTAGGACAGACTTCATAATAGGAGAAGGCCATTTAGCCCTTTGAGCCTGTTCTGCCATTCACATGATCATGGCCAATCTCCAAGCTAATACCATTTGTGGAAGAGAGTTCCAAACTCCTACTAAATGTTATTTGAAGGAATATTTCTTAATTTCACTCTGAAAGATCTGATTCAATTTTTTGACAATACTCATTAATCTTCTCCTGCCCTATTTTGTGTTTTCCCAAATATTTGGAAACTTTGGTTAAATTACCCTTAATCTTCTAAATTCCAGGGCAGGCAACCATAAGTAGTTCAATCTTACCTTATAAAGTAACCCCTGAAATCCTCGTATCAACCTGGTAAACCTACGTTCCATTCTTTCTAAGAACAATATACCTTTCCTAATATATGCTACAGAACCATACTCAGTACTCAGTTACCATCTAGGCAAGGCTTTGAATAGTTGAAGCATAATTTCTACCCACTTGAATTCTATTCCTCTAAATCTGAATGTCAGAATTTCATTCGTCTCTTTGATAATTTTCGTATCTGTTCATGACATTTTAATGAGCTGGACACCCGGGGTTCTTTGGACTTCTCGTATTTTATGTTCTCTAACATTTTCCTCAATTTTGTCCATTCACTTAATCTAGCAGTGTCTCATTGTAATTTTACACTTTCGTCTATGCTGTTTACAATATCACATAGATATTTTTGAATCAACCTGTTAAGAGATGTTATTACACACCTCTGAAGCAGGTGGGACTTGAACCCAGGTCTCCGAGCCTAAGTGTGGGGTCACTACCACATGCCAGAAAGGCCCACAATAATATCACATGTACGTGTTATTTGAAAATTTGGACATGTAGTTTTCTGCCTCATCATTGAAGGTGTTAAATGAGTAGTTACAGGCTCAACACATACTAGTCATAATTTTCCAATTACAGTAACTATCCAGTTTCGCTAGCCTCTATTCTCTCCTGCTTAGCCAGTCAACTAATCAGGTATTAATTTCAAATTTGTTAAAGGTGTCTTATGAATGGCATTATCAAATTCTCTGTGGAATTTCATACGGATAACGTATCCATAAATATATCCCCTGTCCATTAATTTTGTCATTTCTTTAAAACAAAATTAAAAGAAGTTCACTATAGTGACCTACCCTTCACAAATCCATGTTGCTTCTCTTATAGAGTCATAGAAGTCATAGAGCCATAGAGTCATACAGCGTGGAAACAGACCCTTTGGTCCAACCAGTCTTTGCTGAACATGTTCCCAAACTAAACTAGTCCTACCTGCCTGTGCTTGGCACATATTCGACCAAACCTTTCCTATTCATGAATTCATCCAAATGTCTTTTAAATGCTGTAACTGTACCTGCATCCACCACTTTCTCTGGCAGTTCATTCCACACACGAAGTACTCTCTGTGTGAAAAAGTTGGTCCTCATGTCCTTGTTAAATCTTTCTCCTTTCATCTTAAAAAAAAGCCCCTAATTTTAAACTTCCTCACCCTAAGAAAGAGACCCATGTCATTTGCCTCATCTATGCCTCTCATGATTTTATAAATCTCAATGAGGTCACCCTTAAACCTTTTATGCTCCAGTGAAAAGAGACCAGTCTTTCCAGTCTATTTTTATATCTCAAACTCTCCATCCCTGGCAACATCCTGGTAAATCTTTTCTGAACCATCTCCGGTTTAGCAATATCTTGGGTGACTAGAACTGCACACATCTCCAGAAGGAACTGCACCAACGTCCTTAGCAACGTCAACATGGCCACCCAATTCCTATACTCAAAGGTCAGAGCAATGAAGGCAAGCGTACTAAATGACTTCTTAACCACTCTATATACCTGTGATGCAATTTTCAAAGAATTATGTACCTGAACCCCTAGGTCTCTCTGTTCTACAAAACTAGCCAGGGCCCTACCATTAATTGTATAAGTCCTGTCCTTGTTTATATTACCAAAATGCAACACCTCACATTTATCCAAATTAAACTCAATCTGCCACTCTTCAGCCCATTGACCCAATTGATCAAGACCTCTTTGTAATCTTAAATAATCTTCTTCAAAGTCCAGTATGCCACCAATTTTGGTCTCATCTGCAAACCTACTAACCATGCCTCCTATATTGTCATCCAAATCATTTAAATAAATGACAAACAAAAGTGGACCCAAGACCAATCCCTGTGGAACACTGCTGGTTACAGGCCTCCCATTTGAAAGACAACCCTCCACCACTACCCTCTGTCTCCTACCATAAAGCCAATTTTGTATCCAATTGGCAAGCTCTCCCTGAATCCCATGTGATCTAACTTTATCAATTAGTCTACCATGCGGAACCTTGTCAAAAGCTTTACTAAAGCCCAAGTAAATAACATCTACTACTCTGCACTCACCAATTTTTTTGGTTACTTCATTAAACACCTCAATCAAGTTTGTTGGACATGATTTTCCTCACACAAAACCATGCTGACTCCCCCTCATCAATCCTTGCCTCTACAAGTGCATGTAAAACATCCTGTCTTTCAGAATCATCTCCAACAACTTATCCACCACTGATGTCAGATCATAGGTCTATAATTTCCAGGCTTCACCTTACAGCCTTTCTTAAATAAAGGCACAACATTAGCCATCCTTCAGTCCTTCAGTACTTCACCTGTGTTTATAGATGATACAAATATTTCTGCCAGGGCCCCTCAATTTCCTCCCTAACTTCCCACAATGTCCTAGGATATACTTGATCAAGTCCTGGAGATTTCTCATTTTCTCAGACCTCCAGCACTTCCTTTTCTGTAATGTAAACTGTTCTCAAAACACCAATATTTATTTCCCCAAGTTCTCTGGCCTCCATGTCTTTCTGAACAGTAAAAACTGATGCAAATATTCATTTACTATCTCTCCCATCTGTTGAGGTTCAACACAAAGACAACCTTATTGGTCTTTAAAGGGTCCTACTCTCTCTCTAGTTGCTCGCTTGTTCTTAATGTATTTGTGGAATCTATTCAGTCACTCTGTCATTAATTATAGGTTTGAAATTTCTTGGCAATAGATGTCAAGATAACTTGTTCATGCTTCTTTGCCACATATTCGCATGATCCACTTGTTTACAGCTGCTAACAGGGGGCCAATATAAAAAGCTCACTTCAGTCTTAATTGCTTCTCTATTTCTTAATTCTACCCATAAATTCTTTATTGCCTCGTTGTAGCTCTTGTTATATCCTTTCTTATTGAAGTGATTTAATTCTTATTAATTGATGCTACTCTTCCTTAGCAACCATTTTCCTAAACTTTACTGTCACTGTGGATGTTGAATGTGGTAGATTCAGTTCCCAGCCACACTTTCTTGCAGCCATGCCTAAGTAATGGCTATCATTTCATCCTTTCTGTGTTGAATTTTTGCTGCAATTCAATGAATTTTTTTACTAACACTCCATATTTGTATAAAGAATGCTTATTTGGGCCATCCATTCTAATCAGATTTGCAGCTGATTTGTTTAACTTAAATTTTAATCTCTTTACATCTTTAATATTTCACTTTGCATAATGCATAAAACACAACTTCTCCTTTGTTTTAGAATGATTATTAGTACTAAATTTTCCACCCATATCCTCCCCCACAATTTCTTAAAGTTCTCCTGAGCACCTTAATTATCCTTTCCAAAGTACCTTGCTAGCACCCTGGTACAGCTGGATCTTGTCTCACTGTTTAGATCTTTCCTGTTCTGATAATGTTGTCACTACCCTGTGAAATGGAAAGCTTCTTTCCTACACTACTCCTTCAGCCATGTGTTCAACTCCTCAATGTGCTAATCCCTACCCAATTTGCATATGCCTCAAATAATAATCCAGAGTTTATAACCCTTGAGATATAAGTTGTTAATTTAGTTCCTAGTTCTCGAGAGAACATCTTACTTAATCTTCCCTGTGGTTTGGTCCCTTCATTGTGCACATTGACTGAATCCTCCTATGATCCCTAAAATACCCTCTCAAGCCAGTTGGGAGGTGCCTCACACGGACACCACAGGCAACATACAACCTACAATTACAAAGGGTGCCATCTGTCCCCTTAAAGATTAAATTCCTTGTGACTATCACACTACCATTCCCCTCATCCACTTCCGGCTTTGGACAAGCCACCGGATTCAAGTTTCCATGATCACCACACAAAGGCAGGGCAATGATGATCACCAATAAGAGACAATCTAACCACAGCCCCTTCACATTCACTGGTGTTACCATCACTGAAATTCTACCATCAACATCCTGAGGGTTACCATCGACCAGAAACTCAACTGAACTCACCACATACAAACAGTGGCTACAAGAGCAGAATAAAGACTATGAATACTATGATGAGTAACTCATCTCCTGACTCCCCAAAGCCTGTCTATTATCTATAAGGCATGAGTCAGGGATGTAATGGAATACTCCCCACTTGCCAGAATGGGCGCACTCCAACAAAATCCAAGAAGCTTGACACCCTTCAGGATAAAGCAACCGGCTTGATTGGCATCCTAGACACAGGTCTCCTCTCCCTTCGCCACCGATGCTCAGTATCCTGACTTGGAAATATATTGCTGCTCCTTCACTGTCACTGGGTCAAAATCCTGGAATTCCCTCCTCAAGGGCATTGTAGGTTAACCTACAGCATTTGAACTGCAGCAGTTCAAGAAGGCAGCTCACTACCACCTTCTCAAGGGCAGTTAGTGATGGTCAATAAATGTTGCCCCAGGCAGTGAAGCCCATGTACCACAAGTGAATAAAAAAAACTCTTCTAATTTGATCAGGTTCCATATAAAAATTAATATTATTTACTGTGAAAGCAAATAAATAACACATCACAAAATCAAATTATAATTTTCCACTTCCATAATAAAGAGTTGAATAGAATTAAAGAATTTTTAAATTTTTTATGCATAGTTTCTGTGAAACTTTAGAATTCCTCTTGCAAAGTGATTTGTGATTGACATGTATTCAAAATAGTTACAAGAATAGAATACTTACATTTTTGAGTGCTGGAAACCTTTACAGTGTGTACTGATTTTCTGTCAGTGAAATATCTGCCATATTGTAAATTTGTGTTATTATGTAGAATTCTAGCAAAGATAGGTTTCTTAGATCAATATATTTTAAGAATGAACTGGGCTATTTCATGGGTGATTGTAAAAACGCATTAAGGTTATATACTGACTATGTCTTTTTAAACATTTGCTTAATGTCAACCTTATTCCATGTAGAGATAGTAGGAACTGCCGATGCTGGAGAATCTGACATAAGAAGGTGTACAGCTGGATGCTGTTTGGTTGTTGTTGCGGGGAGGGGGTGTGAGGGATGAGTTGTGGGAAATGCGAGAGACACGGTCGAGGGCGTTTTCGACCACTGTGGAGGGGAAGTTGCGGTCCTTGAAAAACGAGGACATCTGGGATGTCCGGGAGTGGAATGCCTCATCTTGGGAGCAGATGTGGTGGAGGTGAAGGAATTGGGAATAGGGGAATTTTCCTCCGCCGCATCTGTTCCCAAGATGAAGCATTCCACTCCCGGACACCCCAGTTGTCCTCGTTTTTCAAGGACCGCAACTTCTCCTCCACAGTGGTTGAGAACACTCTCGCATTTCCCGCAACTCATCCCTCACACCCCCTCCCCGCAATAACAACCAAAACAGAATCCCCCTCGTCCTCACGTACCACCCCACCAACCTCCAGATCCAACGCATCATCCTCCGGCACTTCTGCCATCTGCAATCTGACCCCATTACCAAAGACATTTTTCCCTCCCCACCCTTATCTGCTTTCCGGAGGGACCACTCTCTCCATGACTCCCTTGTCCGCTCCACACTCCCCACCAGTCCCACCACCCCCGGCACTTTTCCCTGCAACCGCAGGAAGTGCTACACCTGCCCCTACACCTCCCCCCTCAGCCCCATCCCAGGCCCTAAGAAGATCTTCCACATCAAACAGATGTTCACCTGCACATCTGCTAATGTGGTATACTGTATCCGCTGTTCCCGTCGTGGCCTCCTCTACATCGAGGAAACCAAGCGGAGGCTTGGGGACCGTTTTGTGGAACACCTACGCTCGGCTCGCAACAAACAACTGCACCTCCCAGTCGCGAACCATTTCAACTCCACCTCTCACTCCTTGGACAACATGTCCATCCTGGGCCTCTTGCAGTGCCACAACGATGCCACTCGAAGGTTGCAGGAACAGCATCTCATATTTCACTTGGGAATCCTGCAGCCTAATGGTATCAATGTGGACGTTACATGCTTCAAAATCTCCCCTCCCCCGACTGCATCCCAAAACGATCCCAGCTTGTCCCTGCCTCCCTAACCTGTCCGTCCTTCCTCCCACCTATCCACTCCTCCCACCTCAAACCCCACCCCTAGCTCCTACCTACTAGCCTCATTCCGCCTCCTTGACCAGTCAGTCCTCCCTGGACCGACCTATCCCCTCCCTAACTCCCCACTTACACTCACCTTTACTGGCTCCAACCCCGCCTCTTTGATCTGTCTGTCTCCTCTCCACCTATCTTCTCCTTTATCCATCTTCTATCCATCTTCCCCTCTCTCCCCATTTATTTCAGAATCCCCTTCCCCTCCCCCATTTCTGAAGAAGGGTCTAGACCCGAAAAGTCAGCCTTCCTGCTCCTCTGATGCTGCTTGGCCTGCTGTGTTCATCCAGCTCTACACCTTGTTATTGCTTATTCCATATAGTTATTTTTCCTGGAAATTAATTATTTACTAAGAATAATTTCCTTATAAAACTAATGATCAATGAATAAGATTCAACTCTACATTATGCTCCAATGTTTGATTTCTGAGGACATAAAATTCTACTACTTTCAAAAAAAAATTCTGGTTTGTCTGAATGACACCAAAACCTTTAGAACATGAGTACATTAATAAGGTTTAATTAAGCATATGGGATCCTGCACTTTATCGATAAAGGCAGAGACTATTCAAGCAAGGTAGTAGGAATGACTTATCTCGAGTACTGGATCGAGTTCTGGACATCACAGTTTAGAAACGATGTGAACACATTAGAGCTGGTGCAGAAAACAAAAATAAAAGAAAAGGTTGCAGGAGTGAGGAACTTCAGTTGCATAGATTAGAGAATTGGGGGCTGTTCTCCTTGGAGAGGAGAAAATTAGGATGAGATTTAGTAGAGGTATTTAAAAGCATGAGGGGGTCTTCCTGTTAAGATGGTGGTAGAGTAAGACGCTCGAACCGGAGCTCCTCTGCTTGCCAGCTCCTTTTCCTCCTCCTTTCTTTGTTTTCCCTCTTGCTGCAGCTTTTCTCCCCACTCCCCTCACAACTGTTAACATCTTACAGTACCCTACCTGGAGGGAATGGAGAATGGAGTCTGAGGGGCTGAGTCCTGGAAGCGAGTCACGGTAGAGAGCGAGCAGAGTGAGTACCAAACTGGGAGCCTAGTCACGGCCAGAGCTGGAGAGGGAGCAAAGCGAGCCCAGGCTGAGTTGGAAGCCAAATCGCAGCCGGGGACCAGTCCTGGATGGAGGCCAGTGCGTGGAGGCAGCGAGTCTCATGTTCTGAAGCCCGGGTCATGGACTCAGTGAGCATCCCACCCAGACCCAGCTGCCTACCTGACAGCAAATCCACTTAGCTTGTACATCTTTGACTGTGGGCGGAAGCCCACGCAGACACAAGGAAAACGTTCAAACCTCACACTAACAGTTGCCTGAGGCCAGAATTGAAGTCAGAACCCTGGCGTTGTGAGGCAGCAGTGCTAACTACTGTGCCGCCCTAATGCAGTTGTCACTGACGTTTTGGTCAATACTGATGTCTCAATTATTGTCTTAAAAACCTATACTCTTATGGGAGCTTGATGCCTTACCAATTGGCTACAACGTTTCGCATATTATAACCAATAACATTTGAAGTGCAATCATGTAAAACAGTTTTTGATGTCATTGTTACAGGTGCCATATAAACAAATACATGTCTTTCTTTTTAAACGGATGATTGGTTAAGAGGTTTTCACACAACACACCAATCAAGTTGCAAACATTGCACTGCAGAGGCATCTGGACTACAAGTGCTACAGTAACACGAATGATTTGGGATGGGAATTAAACTTTCTTTCGGACACTACTGTAGCACATTGCTACTGGTTGTAATTTATATTGAAAATTATGTTGCAATAAAAATGAAGAATTCATGAAAATTAGTATGCCTAAAATAAAGTGAATACGTATTGAACCGGAAGACGAAGATTTTCATGATCTTCAGAAATAGGGGGAATGATTTGTTTCTGTGATCATTTTGATTGAATAATTTTCCTTTTACTGGACAATTAAAAAAAAACAAGTCTGTTCATTTACTTTATACTTTAATTTAGATTTTCTTCTTTTCCTTTGCATCCACTTCATTTATATTTATTTCATGCTTTGATTTTTTCCAATTATTTCCTATTAATTTTTTTCTTTTCTATTTTCTGTTTCTTAGTTTTCTATTTTGTTTCTATAATTTTGCTTGTTTTGTATTATTCTTTTCATACTGTACTTTTTTAAGACTGCTTCCTTCTCAGTGGTGTCCTCTAATGGAGGATTTGAGTATCAGAGTAGGGATGACTTGCTGCAGTTATACAGGGCCTTGGTGAGGCCTTGTGTGCAGTTTTGGTCTCATAGTCTGAGGAAGGATGTTCTTGCTATTGAAGGAGTCCAGCGAAGGTTCACCAGACTGATTCCCGGGATGGCAGGACTGACATATGAAGAAAGATTGGATTGACTGGGCTTGTACTCACTGGAATTTAGAAGAATGAGGGGAGGTCTTGTAGAAACATGTAAAATCCTGATGGGTCCGGACAGGCTAGATGTGGGAAGAATGTTCTGGATTTTGGGGAAGACCAAAACGAGGGGTCACAGTCAAAGAATAAGGGGTAAGCCAGTCACGACTGGTGAGGAAGAATTTCTTCACTCACAGAGTTGTGAATCTGTGGAATTATCTCCCACAGAAAGCTGTTGGGGCCAGTTTGTTAGAAATATTCAAGAAGGAGCTAGACGTGGAGCTTGTGGCCGAAGGGATCAAGGGGTGTGGAGAGACACTGGGAATGGGATACTGAGGTTGCATGATCAGCCATGGTCATATTGAATGTTGGTACAGGCTCAAAGGGCTGAATGGCCTGCTCCTGCATCTATTTTCTATGCTTCTATGTTTCTAATAGCCTATATATTCCAGGTATACCGAAGTTCTGCTGCAAATCGTATTTATCAACATGTGAGTTGCTCTTTAGCAACTCTGAGAAATGATTCCTTTGATTTTAAATACACTAGTTTTATCCCAAGAAAACTGACAAATTTGTTCAAATTCTATTTTTTTAATATACGATTTATATTATTTACCTAACAGAAACACCAACTTTGAGATCATGGCATCATGATAAAAAGTTCTGAGAGCTCTCAGAAACAAAAACAGAAATTTCTGGAAAAACTCAGCAGGTCCAGCAGCATCTGTGGAATGAAATCAGAGTTAATGTTTCAGGTCTAGTGGCCCTTATTCAGAACTGACGGTAGGTAGGAAAAAAAGTTGCTTTTTATGCAGAAGGTAGGGTGAGGGGAGGGGTAAGGAGTAAATGATAGGTGAAGATAGAGCTCAGAGAGAAAGAAGACAGTTGGCCAGACTAAAGAGTGAATAACTCTGATTTCTCTCCACAGATGCTGCCAGACCTGTCAAGGTTTTCCAGCAATTTCTGTTTTTGTTTCTGATTTCCAGCCTCCTCAGTTCTTTGTTTTTTTCTGACAACACTCATCCTGTTTACATGAATCAAAACTCTGGATATTCTATATATAGCTGTCACTTTTGAACAAATGGTGCTAAGTTGTGAACTGCTGACAGTTTCAGGTTAGGGTAATCAATATTTGAATCTAGTGAATGTATTCGGCCAACTGAACAAAAACATTTATGCCATAATTCAAAAACAGACATGTTAAAAATATCTTGAATTTGTGATTATAAATGATATAACCTATCTGTCATTATGGAACGCTGCTTGAGTGAAGAGCAAAACCAGTCATTAATCATGTTATGAAGAACAGTGTAGGATGATATAAATCAAATATCTCAGCTTATTATTTTTCATTCTGAACAGAAATGCAAGCTGCAAGATGAGATAACCAGCGAACTACATTCAACAACCAAAGTGACTCAATATACAGTTAACTTTTGTTATAGCAATATCTTTTCTTAAAGTAGATTCTGCTGTACATTCATGATCCAAATATTATTGATCATTTCAGTTTCAAAATAAGTAACTGACTATAATTATTAACATGTTGGCAAATGTAATTCAAGTATGAATATGTCGCTTCTCCCAACATTTACTAATTCATTTTGATTATTGGTTGCAGGAGGTTTTATTACTAGGCTATTATTTCAGAAATACAGGTAATGTTATGGGGATCTGGGTTTGAATCCCGCAATGCAGATGGTGGAATTTGAAGTGAATAAAAATCTGGAATTAAGACTCTAATGATGATCATGAAAGAGTTGTTGATTGTCGGGAAGAACCCATCTGCTTAACTAACGTCTTTTAAGGAAGGAAATCTGCCATCTTTACCTGGTCTGGTCTACATGTGACTCCAGACCCACACCAATATGTTTGACTCTTAACTGCCCTCTGGGCAATAAATGCTGGCCTGGCCAGTGATGCCCACATCCTATGAATGTATTAAAATGAGACTGGACTGTGTACTGTCTTTAAAATATAGCCACAGATGTTCACAGATTTGACAGTAATCCAATAATGCTGTCTGCTAATTTTCTGGTTCATCTGGATTTCCTGCATCATGTAGTTGTTCAGTCTTGTGTCAAATTCATTTTCTATTAAAGAAATCACGTGTATTCATGTATAGCTTTCACTAAATTAGTGCCATTATCTATGAGAATCATGTCAACTAACAAATTATTGAAGCAAATTGAATCCATGTATGAATTCCTCAAAAATTCAGCAGAATTTATACCTTTTTGAATCTGACCTGAGCCCAGTAGGTAATTACATTCAAAAATGCCAATTTTTCAGTAATTACCAGTGTATCAAACTGGTCTGGTCAGCTTACACAACAGATGCTAGAAATTTGTAAAACATTTGAATAATAGAAGAAACAGTCTGACTCAAATTTTTAGACAATGCACCCCAGTTCTAGAATACCTAACCAGGGGACATAGTTTATCTTTACTTACTCCTTTTTTTTTCCTGTTTATGTCTTTAAGACTTTGTTCAGATGATGCCTTAACTGTCTAAATTCTAGAGAAAGTGGGCATAATTTGTATAATTTCTCCTCAAAATTTAACTATTGAAGTCCAGATATCATTCTTGTAAACCTATGTTATACTCCTTCCAAGGCCAATATATTTTTCCTAAGGTATGATGCCCAATCTGCTCACAGTATTCCAAATGAGCTCTAACCATGGTTTTGTATAATTGCAGCATAACTTCTGCATCCTTAAACACCAGTCCTCTAGATACAAAGGCCAGCATTCCGTTAGCTTTCTTGATTATTTTCAATACCTGTTAATGACATTTTCATGAATCTGAACTTCCCCGATCCTCCAAGTCTCTTTGGACTTTGCTGTATTTAACTTTATATCATCTAGAAAGTACCCTGATCTATCCTTTATCAGTCCACCTGCCACAGTTTTGCCCATTCTTTTAGTTTATCAATATCCCTTTCTAATTTTATGCTGTCATCTATATTGTCTACAATGCTTCCTAACTTTGTGTCACCAGCAAATTTAGATATATGAGTTTCTATTCCATTATCCAAAACGTTAATAAATAATGTGAATAATTGAGGCCTGAACGCAGACCCTTGTGGAGACGTCGCTAGTGACATGCTGCCAAGTCATCAGCAATCACTCATTAATCAATATGAGTGACCATTCAGGAAATTCTGTGTCACTGGTATATAGAGTATTGGGTTATTAAAGTATTTTGATAAGGAACATAAAGATTGAATATTCCCTGTCACTGCACTGAAACAGGAAGTCAGTCACGTTGATATCATTAATGTGTATTTGGAAAAGGAAGTCAGTATCCAGGCTTATAATAGGTATCTGTGCTATCCTGATGCCATTGGTCACCATTGTGCCTACAACATGTGGCTTGCTGTCCTGCTTTGTTTGTCCCACTTGCAGTCCTACATTGCTCACCATTCTGTTCCCCTTTTCTGCTTGTCTCCTCCAAACCTGTCCTAGCCTCACGTCCTGTTCTGGTGCTCGACTGCTGATCCACTGCTCCATTTAGCTCACTGCCCCCCTCCAGGGTTTGGTTTGCCACCTGCCTGACGTCTCATCTTGCTGCCCTGCTTAACACTGTGAGAACTTTGATACTGGATATTAAGCTGGCGATTGAAATCTCACAACTTCTAGATAGCAGAGAAACATTTGTAAAATAACACATTTTGTCAGTGCAACCATAAAATTGTAGTTAAAATAGCTTCAAATTGCTCAATGTTATGGCTTATCTTGGACCCCCCTCTCTAAGTGCATTGTGGGTCTACCCACAGTACATGGACTGCAGCAGTTCAAGAAGGCAGCTCACCACCACCTTCTCAAAGGCAACTAGGGACGCGGAATAAATGCTGGCGAGCCAGCAATACTCACATCATACAAATGAATTTTTAAAAAATCCTAAATTTTGATGTAGGAAGATACCTGT